CTTCCCCCGCGCCCCGCTTACCCGAGCGCGGCCCGGGGCCCCGCTGGACCTGGGAAGGCTGGAGAACATGCTTCGCAAGAACACAGCCCTCGGGACCGCACGGCCCGGCCGGTCAGAGCCGCGTCTGTGGCTTCGCTTTCCTGGCGGCCAGTTAAAAATGGGACATCCGATAAGACCCAGAACTTGTGTTTCCTCCCGATAGTGTCCAGCTTCCCCCGCCCCCTCTCGCCGCAGTGAAAAAGATTTCTGCGAAGGACCAGCAATTCCCAGAGCCCAAAGTAACGCTACAAACCCTGGTGGGCTACCCGGAGAGGGGGCTCATAATCTGGTGCAACATCTGAGGGAACAAAGTAAACACCTGCCCCTCGCAGAAGGGAAGTAACATTTCAATATATTGTATCCTTGGGTCACTCAGGATGGAAACATCTCAAGACCATTTCAAGAGCAATTTGAAAAGTGTTCCTTTGTAGCCTTTGCCCTATAATGGATTTTTTTAAACTAAATAATTTAAAGCCAGGTCTCTTAATTAGCTCCATTAACAGCAAACTATTTGGCTTGCTTTTTCTTAAAAATATCCAATTTTTTAATGAGTGAAAGAAAAGATTTTTTTATTTCGACTCTCGGGTGGGGTATCTGCCCTCTCCATTTGCAGGTTCTCTCGAGACAGCCCAGGGCATCCACTAGTCAGGTGGGCACCTCCGGGATCAGCAGAGATGCGAGGTGCACCCGAGTTCAGCCACAGGGGCGAGCTCTCCTTAGCGTTGAAGGTCCTGTTGTCACGCACATGCCCAAAGCTTCTGCTACAGCAAAAAGGTTTTTCTTTTCCTGTGTGAAAGTCTCCGGCATCCTCGAATGTTCCAGATAGGACAAAACTGGCCGATTCCCACTCAAGAAGTGAAGAGATGGAGTGGGCCTGTAGCAGAATTTCCAAATGATTACTCCCTGCAGGTTTATTTTTTTCTGAGACACACAACCGCATTTAGGTTTCTATTTCCTTTGCTCATTCAATTAAAGGTCTTTCGAGCCTCTTTCTGAGAAGCCCTGGCTGACCTGGGTCAGCACTGGCTCAGCCTCAGACCAGATCTTGCTTTCCTAAGATAGTCCTGTGAAGGGCCCTGCACCGAGGAACCCCAGAAGGACAGGGTTCCCTGGGGCCGGCCGGCGGTCTGTCCGCACAGCGACTGGCCCTGAGAGCAGGTGGAACTTCTCAGCATCCTGGGCCTTTGTCTCCTCCGGGGAGCTAAGAACTGTGGGGTTGTTCCAGTGTCCCGATGGGGATGGGGGTGCTCCTGGGGTTGACATACCACCTCTCTGCGTCTCGCTGGGCATTTGACGTGACCATCACTTTTCCGGCATTTGTCCCAGGGAGGGTGTCAGTGCCATCACCGCCTCCCTGTTCTGCTCTCGTCCCCAGTCCCCATCATCCCGAGTTACTTGTACAGCATCGAGCATCAGAAAAATGCAACCGAAGCCCCGACCACCAGGCCAGCGCTCACCGCCTCCGCCTCAGGCAGCTTCCAGAGTATCTTCTCCTTCTATGACAACTCCACCATGGTCACCGGGAACAGCACCAGAGACCTCCAGGGGCGGCTGCCGCCCGAGGCCACCACGCAGCACATGGTGACCAACACGTCCGCTGGCCCTTCCGACTGTCCCAGGGAAGACGACCTCCTGAACGAAAACGTGCAGGTCGGCCTGCTGTTTGCCTCCAAGGCCACGGTCCAGCTCCTCACCAACCCCTTCATAGGACTGTTGACCAACAGGTAGGTTATATCACTTTGGCCGAAGAGTTCGGTATTTATACTGCTCCGCGCTCATTTCCCCCCCGGGATTCTGTTTCTCAGTCATTCAGCAGAACCTGGAAGCCAGTGGAGAGTGAGTTGGGGAAAAAGAATCCGATCCCTTCCCCTTATGTTTCTGCCCGTGGTTAATTACAGTTTCCCGTTTGCTCTGCCTTCCGTTGCTACCTCTGTTGCTTAAAAAGCAAGAAAATATTAAAACAGTATGCAGAGGCCCTCCCCGAGTGGGAGAACTTCGATTCTGTCTACATGCCGGGTTTCATGCAGTTTTCTCTTCTCTCCCACCTCTGGTCCTGCGCACCCTCGTGGGAAGCCGAGGTGGCGTCTTTAGGGCTGGCGAGGTGAAGGCTCAGGGAGGTGGGCGGGTGGGGGGTGGGAACAGTCGGTGGTTCTGCTGCAGAGATGAGAGCCTTCGCGGAGGCGGAGGTCGTGGGCAGTGTAACAGGTCCATCCCCTGCTAGGTCCTGAGCCGTGTCCGCTTGCACACAGGGAAGGGAACTGAAGCTGTTTTCTGCATAATTCCAACGAGCTAGTAATGCCCCCAATAATGCCCAAACTAGCTTTATGGTAACCTAGATGCTCTGGACTTTTTGGGCCCCACTGTTTTGAAAACTTGTTTACATCTCCATTGTTGGTGGCCTCCCAGCAAGTCTCTGTTCTTCTGCAGTGGAGGTGGCCCAGCTCCCTGAGGACTCAAAGCATAGGACCAGGGCTTGCAGTCGAGGGGAGAAGTGTCAGCTGCAAGGAGAGGGAGCCGTGCGGTGCAAGTGGTGGTGGTGGGGGTGGGGGGGCTGCTGTACACACAGTGTAACCCTGAAGGCAGAGATGCCAAAAATGGCAAAGGAGGGAGCACCCAGAGTCCCACCCGTGACAGCCTAGAAGCCTGACCAGAGACGGGGGTGGGGAGGTAGAAGAATATGAACTAGTGAGGGCAGAGCAGGGGGAACCGGGCAGACCCCAAGTGCTAGGCTGAGATAGGAGAGGGGTTTTATTGAGGGGCTACGTAGAAGCCATTAGACGTTCCAAAGGCAAGTTGGAGAGCCAGCAAGCCAAGCCCAGTTTCAAGCAGGTCCGCCCAGCACCCAGTGTAGGCTGGGAACAGGGAGGTCTTTACATCTGCCCAGGCTCTGGCCTTGGGAAGGGGGTGGGGGCAGGACCAGCAGGGTCCTTTGTTTCAATATTATTAAGCATTTTTAAGAGAGTAACAACAAGCGTTAAACCAAGCCTAGGGCTCTCCTCAGAGCGGCGTGTGACTGAGGGAGTGGGGCCGGCTGTGGGGCCCGGGCCAGTGAGAGGGGAGAGAGGGCCCATAGACCTGCCCTCCCCCAGCGCAAGCTGCCCTCGGACACACGGAGGTTGCAGGCACTGTGCCCACGGTGAGCTGGGTGGAAGCACATTTTAAACTTTCGCAGTTTGATTTCCTGGACTGAGTAGTGCCATTGAGTCCATTTGGACGATCCTAAGCCATATCCAGCCACCCAGTCTGTGTGAAGCAATGTTATGAAGCTGCCACAGAAACTATGCCAAGCAAACGAACTCAGCGATGACGGCCTGACTGGGAGCCCGCGGAGGGGCACCCCTGGCAAGGCGGCCTTCGGGGGCTCCTCGCTTCTTTAGAGGAAACCCAGACAGTCCTCAGAAGTTGCAGGTGGTTTCCTTCCTTTTTCCAAGACTAAGAGCCCTTTTTAAATTGCCCCTGGTAGCCCTGGCTGGGTGGCTCAGCTGGTTGGAGCGTCACCCTGTGCACCAGAGGGTTTCGGGTTCGATTCCCGGTCAGGGCACGTGCCCAGGTTGCAGGTTTGATTCCTGGCGAGGGTGTTTCTCTCCCTTGCTCTCTCTTTAGAATCAATAGAAACCTATCCTCCGGTGAGGATTTTAAAAAAATGCATCTGGTATAATTACAGAACAGGGCTCAGGGGTTTGTATTGTGAGAAAGCAAACAGCTCCACTGCTATATGGGAAAATTGAGGACATTATTGTAATGATCCTCGCTGTTACCGTGCGCGCCAAGGTCATTAGCCGTATCGTGTAATACTTAAACACTCGGCCGAAGGGATGTGAGTATTCCAGTCTTCCAAATGCCAGCGACAAATGAAAAGCTTTTAAAAAAGCCCTGTCCTGGTTTTGAATACTTTGTTTACTCCACGAGGAAGCAGCCTGTTCATGGCCAGTGAGACCTTTCTGTGTATTAAACACGCCAAATGCGTCGACTTGCGGCCAACCCAAGGCTCCTGTCTGGGGCTCCGCCAGAAAGGGTCTTCCAAGAGAAAGCGAGCTTTGTTTTGTGACCTGTGAAATTCAGTATATTCTTACAGTGAGTAATCCACGTTGGAATTTATCTACAGTTAAAATGTTAAATCCTAGCTGGTTCCTCCAGCTACTCAGCAAATTCCAAAATCACCTTCATCTCTTAGCGCTGCCTTGTAATATGGGAAATACAAATACGATCATGATTTGTAATTTTTCCAATATTTTCCAGTATTCAGCTCCCTAGCTCTGAATCTGGGGACTGGCAGCATTTCTGGGCGTTCCACGGTTCTGCTCCGCGGAGGGATAAATACGTTCCACTTTCCTTTACAGCATCTTCCCTTGTGAGCCACTGCAAATAGTCTTTGGTGTAATTTGTGCCAATCACATCCTCAATTACCAACAAGATGTGTGATTCACGTTTTCAGTGTTGTAAACAAGAGTGTTTAGAACAGCATTTTACAGTTGGTTAATATGTTTCTGATTAAAGAGTGGGTAAAAACACAGAGCGTCGGAGCTTGAAGAGACGTCAGCAAAGGCTTTGGGCCAGTCCCAGGAGTTTATAGGTGACGGAGCTGGCCGTTCAGGAGGACGTGTTGGCCCACGTAGCTGTAGGACTAGAGCCAGGGTGCAGCCTCTCTGTGGGGGTGTCTTCTGCCCTTCCTGTTTCCCCCACCTGCTTGCTGGTACACAGTTTGTACATTTGGCTACTAAAAAAATCAACAACGCAGGTCAAAATCTGTCTTTCTTGCATCTACTTGGGCTCTCTCTGGTGGTACCAGGCTGAACTAGTAAAGGCCCAAGCAGTGAGTTGACTGTTATTTGTAAGCAACGGGCAGGGAGTCCAGAAAAAATCAGCCTGGTTTTTTGGACATGGACCTTCCCTCACCTCAAAATAAATAAATCTCTATTTCCAGCTGCTGATGTGAGCTGGTCTAGCTTCCTAATCTCTGCAGTGCTTTCGACAGTGGGGAAAAGGGAGGCCTCCTGCACCCCCAAAGACATGGGGGGAGCTACCTAGAGACAGGCAGCTTGGAGTCACTCCTTTCCAATGCCTCTTTTTTTAAAAATTCTCACCCAAAGATATTTCCCCCCATTGCTTTTCAGAGAGAGTGGAAAGTGGGGGGAGAGAGAGAGATCAATGTGAGAGAGACACATCGATTGGCTGCCTCCTGCAAGCACCCCGACTGGAGTCGGGGATCAAGCCCACAAATGAGGTATGTGCCCTTGGCCGGAACTGAACCCTGGACCCTTCAGTCCTCGGGCCAACGTTCTAACCACTGAGCCAAACTGGCCAGGGCTACAGTGCCTCTTGATGGAAGCAGGGCCCACTCTGAAGTGAGACCCCCACATCACCACCCGACCTGCCCTGTGACATCCAGGACCCTGTGTTCGTGGTCTGGATGCTGCCCTGTGAGTGGCTTTCGTGGGTGGGTGATCCGAGAAGCAGGCTGCCTGCCTGTCGTTTTAAATATCAGATCAGATCGCATGCCAAACCCTGAAAATAAAAAATTACAGTTCTTGGGAAGCATGTGAAGTGTTCATCCGGCTGCTAATATAATACAAGTAATTTCTCTTGGACTTACTCTTCTGGTACCATATTTTTACTGAAAAATATGTGACCAGATAGGGAGCAGAGGACCTTGAATTTGGCAAGTGTAGCGACCAATCACAGATCCTGTAGCACTTTCTGACGCCTGCCGGTGCCTTGGGTGCCTCGATTTCCCTCTTTGAGGCTCGTGTGACTTACTCTACAATCCCATTTTATTTATTTCATGATTGCCTTGTGAGTAAAAGGGGGTGGAAGGGCTTATGCTAGCAACACCTGTTATCATTTGGCCCAGCCAGCGGATTTGACCCATAAAAGGAACGCTCCAGGCAGGTACACGATGTGGAAACACCTTTACGTGTGTCTGTCCGGGAGTCAGGTTAAGAAGAGCGCGGCCTCGTGGCCTTCGCTGGCTTGGCCTAAGGGGTCGGTCGCCGTGGCCCTTGCGCCTGGAGCTGACGTGCTTCCGAATGAACTGCGCGGCGCAGGAAGGGTTAACTCCGGGGGCCGGGGCGGCTCCCGCCACCCTCCTGAGCCTGTCATTGTCTCGGTGGTCTGCTTTTTATCAAGCCAGCGACAGTGGCTTAATTTATTTCCATAGTTACCTAGTATATTTGAAAGCCAGTTATTTCCCCTCACGGATCGCAGCTAACATCTGAGCGACAGGAGGAGGCCGCGGGGCGCAGAGTCCCGACGGCATCTGCTGCTGTTTCCCCCCAGCCTCAGCCAGTTGGTCTCCAGCGGGCTTTGTAGGAAGAGGCAGTGACCTTTTCAGCCGCCCCGAGGACAGGGAGCTGGGGGGGGCACCTCGGAGAGAAAGAAATCCTTGGCTCATTAACCCCCCTGCGCACATCCAGTAGCCAAGAGGGACAGACTCGCCGAGGGCTACACCTGAGAATTTGGGTTTATTTACAAAACGATTGACAACAGACTCCCCGGGGTGTCCTGTGAATTTGAATTACCCCTCCGTTCACTGTGTTCCCCTCTGAGGAGCGTGTTGGGTTAATTCAAAAAGGAGATGTCACCTCTTGTCTCTTCTGGTGACAGTTTGCATCCCACTCTGCGTCCTTGCTTTTGTCACTTACCACGCAGGGGGAGCCACGGTCTGACAGGCCTGAGCGTGGCGCTTGGGTAGTGTCTCTGGCAAAGGTAAACCGGGCAGGAGCTCGTCAGTGATGAATTAGGGGCCGTGAGGTTTCTCCACTGACCCTGTCGGGGTGTATTTATAACAACGACAACTTCCACTGCTCTGCCCTTATTTCTAGGGATTCGATATGTGATTTTTAGTCTTTTTTCCAATTGGATTACCTGCTCCCTGGTGCTCTGTGGAGGGTGACCGTGGGCTGGGATGACTCACCGGGGGGTGATAATGGGAGATTTGGTTAAAGGTCTGCCTCATCAGCTCCAGCTCCGCTGAGCAGCACTTTAATTGAGACGGCCTTGAATCCAGACAGGAGGCGACTCAGATGTTGATGACGAATGGCAGCCGAGGTTCTGGTCATTTAGGCGACATGGTGGGGAAGGAGGAATGGCCCTGGAGATCTGCCCATCGCTCAGTGGCCCCGGGGCCTCGGAGGACTCTCTTTCTGGGTGCTCGGGGGCCAGAAGAGGCTGAGGGTGGAGATCCCGGAGTGCGTCTTTGGGTTGGGGCTGAGCTGCAGGCAAAGGCTGGCTGCCCAGCACTCAGCGTTGCACCAGCCTTCAGGGCAGGGGGACTAGGAAGCTGCCTTCACTCTCACGCTCCATCCGTACGGCAGGGACCAAGCTGTCTGCTTAATCGGCAGAAACAGAGAGGAAAGAAGGAAGAAGGCGAGGGAGGAAATGAAGTTTCCGGAGCACCTCTCTGTTCCAGGCACCCTGGTAGCAGAGCAACGTACACCCACATGTCATCACAGTGTCACCCAGTCCTGAGAGGTGGGCAGCGACGGGCACTCCGGGAGGCTGGGGCAAGGCTCGCTGGGTTGAGTGGCAGGGCCGGATGTCCAGCCAGGGGTGAGATACAGAAAGGCCAAGGTCTTCCCACCATCCCATCCACCTGGTGGCAGAGCCCTGTGTGGGCAACGGTCTTGCGGAGCAATTAGGATGTTGAATTTTTGCCGTGTACACGAGGCCTGTCTTTCTAGGCTGGCCTCGCTGGGCTCAACGCGAAGACAGATTTAAAACATCTTGGCTCCCGATGCTTCTTAGATGCAGTGCCGTCGTCTCTGTGGCCAGTTGTATCCCTTGAGGACCTTTTACTAGAATCGTTTGATTGCAATCATCCCTTTGGTGAAGCTCTAGCAAAGATTATAATTAAAGAAATAATAATAAAATCAATGACGGAAACAGGAGCCGTCTATTTTGGCCATGCTCTGGGTTACTAGGCAAGGTTGTGTTAACATTTATTCCAGAGACATTTCTGTTCAGAGTGGCAGCCCACGAATGTGTTCACACTCCAAGGCAGTCAAACACGGAAAGGTCACGCAGGAAGCGCCAACCACATGAATTTTTAGGAAAGTTGACTGAACGCTTGCCCGCCGGCTCCCAAGGGTGAGCAGGAGAGACTCGGCGTGAAGCCCTAAGAAAACACGGGGCCGGTGCCAGATTTCCCTCGCGGTTTTGTTTTGCAGAATCGGCTACCCGATTCCAATGTTTGCGGGATTCTGCATCATGTTTGTCTCCACCATTAGTAAGTGTCTCATGTTTGCCTCCTGAATGTGGGCCACGGGATGGGCTCTGATGGCCAGGAGAGGGGGTTGAGAACACGGCCTGGGGTAGGGGTGGGGTATTGGCAACACCTGCAAAGAAGTGGATAGAGAGGGGTCTTCATGGGTGGAAACACAGTGTGGTTAATTTGGAAATAAGCCATCGGGCTAAGGGCCTCGGAGATGCCTGTCTGGCTTGGTTTGGTCTCGGGGCAGCCGGCTGCGCTCACCGGGCCGGCCCTTTCTCTCCGCAGTGTTCGCCTTTTCCAGCAGTTACGCCTTCCTGCTGATCGCCAGGTCGCTGCAGGGCATTGGCTCCTCCTGCTCCTCTGTAGCCGGTAGGTGTGGAGACAGGTGCCTGAGTAAGTCAGTGCCCAGGGGTCTCCATCTGTCACAGGGCCACTAGCATTGCCCTGCTTGCCGGCCGCTCACGTTGTTAGCTGGATAATTCAGGGAATCAAGGGGGTTTGGTGGTGGTGATGGGCTCCTGCAGAAGGTCCCTGCCTCTCCTTGGGTTCTTGGTCTTATGTTTTCACGAATCTGGTGGGTTTGGGAAGCTCCCAGGTCTGGGTTTGGGAGGGAAGGCGAGTCACGGGTAATTCTTTCGGTGCTCCCAGAGCTTGGCTGTCGACGTTTCTTTTCCTGTTTAGGGATGGGCATGCTTGCCAGTGTGTACTCGGATGACGAAGAGAGAGGCAACGCCATGGGGATTGCCCTGGGCGGCCTGGCCATGGGGGTCCTAGGTGGGTAAAGTCCACGTGGAGGTGAACTGGGGGGAGCCTGTCTGGTGCTGGACAGTGACCGTCCTCCCTCTCTGACTCCTGGCTGACAGATTCCCCAGCTGCCCCCTTTTCACTCCCTACCTCCCTGGAGCCTTTGAAAAGCGGTGCAACCTTCCTGACACGGGCAGGCTGGGTCCCCCCGCCTCTACCCCCTAGCTTGCTGGGAACCTTGGGAAACCAACCCCGAACCTCTTGGGCCCAGATGCAAAGGAAGGCTTGACCGGGATGGTCGGCCGGTACCTCCCTCTCCTTTCACACGTCCTCTGAGTTAACGGGGGACAGGAGCTCCCCTCCTCCGCGCCGGCCCCCCCCCCCGGCTGTCCTCCCAGACCAGGGGCAGGTGTCTTCCCCCGAGGAGATCCGGGCCCTCTCCCTTTCCGCGGTTGCATCCCAGGCTTCTCTTGGGGGCCTGCGGTTCCTGTCCGTCTGGCGCATAAGGATCGAGGGCCTCGCTGACCTAGTGCCCTGTGCTCCTTCACAGCTGGGGCCCTGTTTCCCTCTGACCTTTACTTTGGGGTGGCCCTTAGGGCCTCTTGCCTGTGTCCCAGATGTAAAGCCGCTTAGAGGAAGTGGCCTGGGCAGCTTAACGCCACTGGGTGTAACGTAGGGCGGGTACCTCAACTGGCTTTTGGAACAAAACAGAGCAGAGTGCAAGAAACAAAAGGGTGGTCCTGGCGGGGTGGGGATGGGGGGCACCGCCCCAGGCCCGGATGGTTCTCTTCTCTTCCTCGCAGTTGGCCCCCCCTTCGGGAGTGTGCTGTACGAGTTTGTGGGGAAGACAGCTCCGTTCCTGGTGCTGGCTGCCCTGGTGCTGCTGGACGGAGGTGAGTCCACGTGGGGACCTTGGCCTGACCCGGGCACCTACGTTGCCAGGGGCTCGGGGCCACGCCTCGTGTTTTTCTCTCGCAGCGATCCAGCTCTGCGTGCTCCAGCCGTCCCGGGTGCAGCCAGAGGTAGGCGGCGGGGAGAGGGGGGCACTGCACGGGCCCCTTGGGTCTCCTAACTCCTGTTTTCTCAACAGAGCCAGAAGGGGACGCCGCTGACCACCCTGCTGAGAGACCCCTACATTCTCATTGCCGCAGGTGGGGCTCCCCCCCCCCC